TAATATAAAAGAATATGTACATATTCTATCTCTGCTGGAAAACAAAATAACCTTTTTGTGGGTAAAGAGTCATTTCGGGATAAAGGAAAACGAAACAGTTGATGTCCTTGCTAAAAAATCAACCACTTTCAATGTCACCAACAACTTTTCAATTTTTAATGACCTAATTAATTCAGTAAAGAATAAAATAAGAACTACTTGGAAGAGACAATGGAGGGTTTTCACAGAAAAATCTAATAATCATTATAAATTAATTCACCCTACATTGCTACGTCATAATATGCAGTAACTATTACACGTCTCAAACTTAACCATGCAAAATTCCCATCTCACCTTCATAAGATTGGTATAAATCCATCACCATTTTGCTCATACGACAATATTTCACTTGGAGACCTAATTTATATTTTCTTTTCCTGTGGTAACCATAAACGTAATACCGAACATTTATTACAAACTATAGCTTCAAATCATATTTCCCTACCTTCAAATATTACATCCTTACTTAGCACTCAAAATATAGTATATTACATTACGAGTGTGGAAAGTGACATTTTTCACACGAGTGGGAAATATTGTCGCACGAGGCGCAAGCCGAGTGCGACTATCACACGAGTGTGGAAAATCACTTTTCACACAAGTGATATACAATATTTTTCCTACGACCACAAAATAATATCATCAAAAAAATGTAAAACCAAGGTTATTATTACTATAATAATTAAAATGTATTTAAAAAAATAATCAACAATAATAATCGTATTTATTCAATTTTCATATTTTTTAAACAAAAAAAAAACTAGAAAAAAAAACAAAAAAAAAAACAAAAAAAATTTCTGCCACGTCAGGATTTGAACCATCGATTGAACGCGGTCGAAAAATGGCAAAGTTGATAAGTTCGACGTCCTAACCACCTGAGCTAATAGCCCTTGTGTCAATTGAATGATCTAATCGATTATGTATTCAACCAGAATAAAGAGCAAACATTATTTTAAAATTATTTTAATAATAATTGTTAAAGATAAATATCTAGGATCTAATTTACAACAATTTCAATAATTTAACAATCATATCGATTTTAGTATTAATATGGATATTACATAGATCAAAATGGAAATTAGCTGTTTGACATTTTGTGACAACTACTGCGGAAAGTAACATATTCTCACTCGGGTGGAAAGTAAATTCTTATTCATACGCGTGTGATATAGGGCACTTTCCATAGGACTATATAGTGTGATATGTGTCACTTTCCTAAGTGGTCGTAGGAAAAAAATATTTTCGATGCCCTAATTACCTTTTTAAAACAACTTAATATAGATATTTAAAAAAACATAATTTGCCTTTTATAAAAATATAATTTTTACTTTCCTATCTGTATACAGATATAAGGAAAGTATAGGAATCATGATTTTTTTCGACCTCGAGTTTTCGACGGATTTTTACGATTTGAGGTCCTCTGAATCCCTTTTGACTATTTTCGCGATTATGTCTGTACGTGTGTGTGCGCGTGTGTGTGTGTGTGTGTGTGTGTGTGTATGTGCGTGCGTGCTGCGTGCGTGCTGCGTGCGTGCTGCGTGCGTGCTGCGTGCGTGCGTGCGTGCGTGCGTGCGTGCGTGCGTGCGTGCGTGCGTGCGTGCGTGCGTGCGTGCGTGCGTGCGTGCGTGCGTGCGTGCGTGCGTGCGTGCGTGCGTGCGTGCGTGCGTGCGTGCGTGCGTGCGTGCGTGCGTGCGTGCGTGCGTGCGTGCGTGCGTGCGTGCGTGCGTGCGTGCGTGCGTGCGTGCGTGCGTGCGTGCGTGCGTGCGTGCGTGCGTGCGTGCGTGCGTGCGTGCGTGCGTGCGTGCGTGCGTGCGTGCGTGCGTGCGTGCGTGCGTGCGTGCGTGCGTGCGTGCGTGCGTGCGTGCGTGCGTGCGTGCGTGCGTGCGTGCGTGCGTGCGTGCGTGCGTGCGTGCGTGCGTGCGTGCGTGCGTGCGTGCGTGCGTGCGTGCGTGCGTGCGTGCGTGCGTGCGTGCGTGCGTGCGTGCGTGCGTGCGTGCGTGCGTGCGTGCGTGCGTGCGTGCGTGCGTGCGTGCGTGCGTGCGTGCGTGCGTGCGTGCGTGCGTGCGTGCGTGCGTGCGTGCGTGCGTGCGTGCGTGCGTGCGTGCGTGCGTGCGTGCGTGCGTGCGTGCGTGCGTGCGTGCGTGCGTGCGTGCGTGCGTGCGTGCGTGCGTGCGTGCGTGCGTGCGTGCGTGCGTGCGTGCGTGCGTGCGTGCGTGCGTGCGTGCGTGCGTGCGTGCGTGCGTGCGTGCGTGCGTGCGTGCGTGCGTGCGTGCGTGCGTGCGTGCGTGCGTGCGTGCGTGCGTGCGTGCGTGCGTGCGTGCGTGCGTGCGTGCGTGCGTGCGTGCGTGCGTGCGTGCGTGCGTGCGTGCGTGCGTGCGTGCGTGCGTGCGTGCGTGCGTGCGTGCGTGCGTGCGTGCGTGCGTGCGTGCGTGCGTGCGTGCGTGCGTGCGTGCGTGCGTGCGTGCGTGCGTGCGTGCGTGCGTGCGTGCGTGCGTGCGTGCGTGCGTGCGTGCGTGCGTGCGTGCGTGCGTGCGTGCGTGCGTGCGTGCGTGCGTGCGTGCGTGCGTGCGTGCGTGCGTGCGTGCGTGCGTGCGTGCGTGCGTGCGTGCGTGCGTGCGTGCGTGCGTGCGTGCGTGCGTGCGTGCGTGCGTGCGTGCGTGCGTGCGTGCGTGCGTGCGTGCGTGCGTGCGTGCGTGCGTGCGTGCGTGCGTGCGTGCGTGCGTGCGTGCGTGCGTGCGTGCGTGCGTGCGTGCGTGCGTGCGTGCGTGCGTGCGTGCGTGCGTGCGTGCGTGCGTGCGTGCGTGCGTGCGTGCGTGCGTGCGTGCGTGCGTGCGTGCGTGCGTGCGTGCGTGCGTGCGTGCGTGCGTGCGTGCGTGCGTGCGTGCGTGCGTGCGTGCGTGCGTGCGTGCGTGCGTGCGTGCGTGCGTGCGTGCGTGCGTGCGTGCGTGCGTGCGTGCGTGCGTGCGTGCGTGCGTGCGTGCGTGCGTGCGTGCGTGCGTGCGTGCGTGCGTGCGTGCGTGCGTGCGTGCGTGCGTGCGTGCGTGCGTGCGTGCGTGCGTGCGTGCGTGCGTGCGTGCGTGCGTGCGTGCGTGCGTGCGTGCGTGCGTGCGTGCGTGCGTGCGTGCGTGCGTGCGTGCGTGCGTGCGTGCGTGCGTGCGTGCGTGCGTGCGTGCGTGCGTGCGTGCGTGCGTGCGTGCGTGCGTGCGTGCGTGCGTGCGTGCGTGCGTGCGTGCGTGCGTGCGTGCGTGCGTGCGTGCGTGCGTGCGTGCGTGCGTGCGTGCGTGCGTGCGTGCGTGCGTGCGTGCGTGCGTGCGTGCGTGCGTGCGTGCGTGCGTGCGTGCGTGCGTGCGTGCGTGCGTGCGTGCGTGCGTGCGTGCGTGCGTGCGTGCGTGCGTGCGTGCGTGCGTGCGTGCGTGCGTGCGTGCGTGCGTGCGTGCGTGCGTGCGTGCGTGCGTGCGTGCGTGCGTGCGTGCGTGCGTGCGTGCGTGCGTGCGTGCGTGCGTGCGTGCGTGCGTGCGTGCGTGCATGCGTGCGTGTGTGTGTGTGTGTGTGTGTCTGTGTGTGTGTCTGTGTGTGTGTGTGTCTGTGTGTCGCATAACTCATGAACCAATATACAGAAAAACGCCAAATTTTAAACTTAAGCTTTGTTCTAGCGTCCAATGAACTGATTAGATTTTGAGCAGAGTCGAAACATCTGGGGGGATACTTTATAGGTGGTCATTTTTATATTTTATGGAATATATCTGTTATTTACGTTTGGAGAAGAAAATTCTTCAAATAAAAGTTACTTTAAATATTATTATCTATAATTTTTGTTCTATACAAAATTTTCTTAAAATGGTCCGTATTCGAAAAATTTGACAAAATGTAAAAAAAATATTTTTTTATAAAAATTGTTAAAATAAAAGTTGTTTGAAATATAATTCTTTATAATTTTTATTCTACACATACTTTCTCTTAAATGGACCGTATTCGAGATATTTGAGAAAATGTGTAAATTTCGAATTTTGAAGAAAACTCAAAAACAGATAAAGAAAAAAACATTAAATTTTAAACTTAAGGTTTATTTCGGCCTAACGTGAAATGATTAGATTTTGGACAAAGTCGGAACATCTGGGGAGGTACTTTATGGGTGGCCGTTTTTATATTTTATGGAATATATCTGTTATTTATATTTGGAGAAGAAAATTGTTCAAATAAAAGTTACTTCTAATATTATTATCTATAATTTATGTCAAAATTTCCTGAAATGGTCCGTATTCGAGAAATTTGACCAAATGTGCAAAATTCTGATTTTTATGAAAATTCTAAAATGGACCGTAATGGAAAAATAATAGGAAAAGTACTAAATTTAAATTTTTCAGTATTTTCGTTTTCAATGAATATCTATAGAAAATTGTTTCGAGGTAGATGTATGAGGAAAATGTATATATTTAGTTTATCCTCTAAACATTTATAGCGGTGCTGCAATAGGTTGTACAAAATAACCAGAAAAAGCCTATAATAACTAGATAGGAAAGTCATGTGTTGGACACATCAGATTTTTACATTCGTAATTATGTAAAAGTCTGTGGCAAATGGATCATTCCGATGTCAAAGCATTCCCCCCTCCCCCCCCCCCCCCCCCCCACACACACACACGTTATTGGTAGTAGGTTTGTTACTGCAGTAGTGTCTAATAGGAAATTAGGATTAATCACAATTGAAAAAATTCTAGCAGATTTTATTGATCGATAGTTTGCAATCTGTTTACTGTTATAAATTAAATTTCTTCGATTCTAATAATTATGGCATCCAAATCTCACATCTAGATACATGCTTTTGATGTTTTTTTCTATATAGGTACAACCAGTTACATAACTGATTGTACAACTCTTTGTAATATATGTTTTAATTGAATAAAAAAATCAACACAACAAATTTCATCACAGCACTCTATATAGTGAAACATTTCCTTTTAGGAATTCCAAAACAAATATGACGTAAAGATAAGGAAAGACGGTTTTAAAGTTTTAGTATCAAAATCAAATGATGAGTTTAACTTTGATGATGATGACTTCATTTTAACAAGAGGAGCAAGAAAACCCAGAGTACCCGAAGGTTATCCTTACATAAATGACGAAATGTACACTCCAGAAGGCCCTAAAAAACTCGAGGACCATAAGTAAGTTAAAATCAAAAATGTAAATGAGTATGATAAACGAGACGTATTTAGAAATGTGATATTGAAAGGGCTTAATTTTTTTTTATAAAATTGTAGTCGGACCCCACCTAAAAAATTGTCCCGGGGGCCCACCTGGCTCTTGGCGGCCCTGGATACGCATCGTTCAATGCCAATAAAATTATCAATAACAAATAAACTATATAAGCGGCCTAGTTTCAAAGTATTCAATCTCCAATTTTTAACAAAAAATTTTAGGGCTAAATTCCTATAAACTATAAATTCGTACTAAAAATGTCAATTTCCTGTAAATACACTGAGAGAAAAAAGTAGTTTATATTTAAAATATTGTAAGTTAGAAAGAAATTCTTTAAATATTAACTAAGGAAATTTATTAATACCATAATATTGTAATTATTAATAAATATCTCACAAATACGAGTTTTTCTTTAAAAAAACATTTGTTACAGTAAGGTACAGTAGATATTTACAAATATTTTACTCGGCAATATACGTATATTTAAAAATAATTATTATGTTTATCTAAACATTACAAATTTCTTAATATTAAAATACAACACTTTAAATATAACAATTGTGCTTTCGCGCTCTACGAAATAAATAAATTTTAATATACAGCTATGATAAGTTAACTATTAGCGAATATATTTTTGATAATACCCAGACTCAACGTCCCCTTAATGCGCCGATCTCAACGTTGCCATTATCGTTCTGTTATTGCGCTATCATAGGAAATGTAAACAATTCAAATTATCTATTAGGTACAATTTTGCAATATTTTTCTATTTATCGTTAACATAAAACTAGCGTAAATTAATTTAAAAGTTGTTTGCTGTATTACTAGTGGCCTATAACTAATTATTGTATTATAAATTTGCATTTTTTTTAAGTGCGGTATGCAGTCCCAGTGGGTAGGTAATTTGAGTTTCACAAATTGGCAACGAACACCACGTGGTTTCTAATTGCCATTTTGTTAAGCTCGTTCTTGTCTGGTTACAGTTTGCAGTGCAGAATCGTTCTTTTTGTAAGTGACGCCGACATTAGCAGCTAAGTTTATTAAAAGTTTACAAGGATTTTTTATCCTAGTAAGTAATCATATTTATTTATTAAATTCTAATAATACGTATTATTTTCGAGAATATTGTAATTAATTAAAGTCAAATAATGAAAAACATTCTATTCATGGGATATTTGCCATGTTTCAACTCAACTAAGTAAAGCGTCTTTTCCGAAAGCTTATTGTTTTTATAAAATATAAGTACCTACAGTCACTACATGTTTCGGAAACACTGTTCCAAGAAGATGGAACAGTATTTCCGAAACATATGTAGTGCCCGTAGGTACTTAAACTTTATAAAAACAATAAACACGACCGAATAAACTTTTTATTTATATAAAATTCTACTACGGTAAGAAAATGATCCTTAATCAAACAATAGAATAGTTATTTGTGTACCAAGACCATAAAGTTGATATTTTCTGGCCGAATCAGAAGTTTGCTGCCGAGACCAAGCAACTTCTGGTTAGGTCAAAAAAGATTATACGGTCGAGGTGTACACAATATTTTTTATGCCACTATCTCATCAAGTTGAGCCAATATTTTTTTCACATTGTTGTTTTTAAAAGAGGCTTGAATGCAAGAATTGTTTCAAATTTTTATTAATCGAATAAAATTCCATCGTTAACTAATTAAATATGTATAACATTACTAATGATAAGTATAATAAACCTATGCTTATAAAAAGTTGCCGTAAAATAAATGCGGCCAAAAAAGTGACACTTTAAAGATGTTATTTTTCATGACAGTCTCCCAAAAAGTAGTTTTTTTTATTTTCATAGTTTTTCCAAGAAAAAAATGTATTGGGTTTGACCGAGATTCGATCGTGCGTCACGAAACACAAATTGCTTAATTTTGAGTTGTTTGACGTCCCGTTTGCAGGGTTTATAAACGAAATCCTTGTAGATAACACTTCCTGATGGACCTGCCACTCACCTTATAAAATTTCAGTCGGAGGTACCATTGTACCACCTATCGGCCGCTACATTTAATATTAGTTTTTTTAATTTGTTCATGTTTGTTGATATTTATAAGCATGTATTGTTAACTTTTCAATTTAATAAAATATATTTTCTGTATGTATATTTTATATCCCTAATATATTTAGGCTAAATTAGCCATATTCAACCTGCGGCCCTCCAAGCTTTTTTTGTGGCCCGCAACACTATTATTGGTCGCAGCGCTAAATAGCATGCTAATTTTTAAATAAGCGTTTGGAATTTTGTGGGGTTACTGCAAAAACAAGATAGCTCCACTTTCGGAATTTTCGAGTTAAGTGTAGGTACACTTTCTACAAGTGTGAAAGAAGTCTATATTCATGAAAAACAGATAGCCAATAAAAACTAACAATGTGGTCACCACTGTCATGTGGAAACGGTTAAACAACTTGAACCAAAATGAAGAGAGAAATTTAAATTTGAAAATATTAATATTAATAAAATTATGATTTAGCAAGTTGTAAATATCCCGAAATATATAATTTTGGGAGTGAGGATGACCAGGAACTTGGGTACGTTGTGGACAATGAGCACTGATGATGGCAAATAAGCCGAAACGCTTTGCATTGATTAATAAAAAAGTTTTGCACGAAATACAAGTTTTTCCTTTTGAAAAGTATTAGTACTTTACAACGTATCGAAAGATTTAGCTATCCTAAGTACATTCCACCAGAAAAATAGATTTAATTTATCAATGGGTGAGGGTGGGGAATTCGGATTTATATGCCAAACTCGTACAGTATTTATTCAGAGGGATGCATGAAAGGATGAAACAAAGTTTGAAAATACTTACAAAAAAGTGCAAGAAGAAAGATTTACTAAAATTTTGCAAAATCAGATACACCATTATTATCACAATCTACCTATATCCAATAATGTTACTGAAACTTCGACTGAAGATAGTGACACATTGAATTATGATTTGTATGTAGAACTAAAATAAGCTAAGTGACGTTTTTTCTTTCTTTTTACTAATTATTGATAGATTATTAGTTTATACTTTGTGAACAATGTTTTCAATACCTTCTTCATTGAAGTTAATAAATGGTTTGAAGCTTTTACTGATTTTTTATTCAGTTTTAAACGTTTGAATAGTGTTTTATCGAAACTCTAAAAATGTGAGTTATCTTGTTTTTGCCGTAACACAACGGGATATATTTATGTTTTGTTTGTTTAATTTATTAGAGGTCCCCACTAACTAATTTTAGATAGATGTCCTAAAAAAAAGGTCATCATAAAAATAATTCTTAACCCATTAAGGCTTAAATTTAACGAACTACCCTTACAATATAGGCAACTTGTGAATGTTCATTGGGAGGAGATTTTTGAAAATAATATTCCAGAAGACACATTACAATTTTGGAAAAAGGTCATTACTTTAAAAATTGTAGCGGGATCATTATTATTTGAAGATATTTCGAAGTTTGCTTTTACCCTCTTAAGCTTGCGTACTTCAAATGCTACAGTAGAGCGAAGTTTTTCTCTCCTGAATATTATTAATGTAAGCTAAGAAATAAAATGATGTTACATTTATTAAATTCTATTATGATTATAAGATCATATTTTTACGTTAATAAAATTTGCTGTAAAACCTTCCAACCAATTAAAGATATATTTTCTAGATTTAATTCAAAATGAAAGCAATCAGGATGTTACTAACGATCCTGCTGAGGTTGAGGTAGAAGGAGTTATTTCGTTATGTGATGATATTTTACCACAATAATGTTTTTGTTCTTTTAAATGTTTCTAATAAAATGGTCTCCAACTGAAACCTTGTTTACTTTTACTCTAATAAGTTATTGTAATATTTGAATAATTCTCAAAAAAAGAAATAATGTAGTGTTATCAATTAAGCATTTATTCTGCTTCACGATTTTCCAATATTAATCTTACCTCCATATTCACAGACTGATACATTATCAGCCATTTAGAATGTGCTTTATCTCGTTGCTACAGGTTTTAGACACCAAATTAAAACATGAGCGGTTGTTACAATTAACAGTCTGTTATATAGTTAAGCCAAAGCTTACTGAATACGGTCATTGATATATCAGCAAGTAATTTCAAAATATGACGTCATTTGGATGAATTTCCCAATTAGCAGATGAGTATACTTTTTTGAAAATGAAGTAACCGTTTTTCATTTTCTCCACAATAATATAATTACACTGTAATAAAAAAATCGCGTTTCGCATTTTAATTGCCCATTTTGGACACTTTCCACAACTGAACTTGGGCCTTAGGTTTTTAAAATCTGGCAACACTGTTCGAGGAACGTTAGTACTTGTTTGTAATATGTCGGACGAGGGCGCGGGTCCGTCTCGGTGTCCTAAGAGAGCCGAAAAACGCAAAGTAGATTTTGATGCTTATTGTGATTTAAATAAAAAGGAAGTTAGGGCCATTTTGAAGGCTGTAAAAAACGCAAATTATTTATCTGATGACATTAGTGAAGAGGATCCCTTCATTGACAGTGGTAGTGACGTAAAATCCAAGTTCAGAAAAAAAAGAAGAAAGCGAACGATACCTATATCTTCAAATCTTCGATATCAGCCGAAATAGATATGAGAAGACTGGAGATCCACACTAACAGAACGTTAGTCCCCTATCTGGACAAAAACAAAATTAAAATAAATTCTCTGAAAACAGAGGCGGTGTTACTGACTAAAATGAGGTCTAATAGAATCATTACGGACCTAAAAGTCCAACAAAACCAAATAATCACCAAAAATAAGTTGAAATATCTAGGCATAATACTAGACAGGATATTAACGTTCCAAAACCACATCCAAGACCGAGTTAACAAAGCTACGTCTATGATTCGCATACTCTATCCTATGCTTCACAGGTGTAGTGGAGTTACTCGCAGTAACAAACTGTTACTTTACAAACAAATAATCCGACCCATTCTAACGTATGGATCTCCAGTT